TAACTACTACTACTACTACTACCACCACTACTACTACTACTACTACTACTACTACTACTACTACTACTACTACTACTACTACTACTTCTACTAATACTACTACTACTACTACTACTACTACTACTACTACTACTACTACTACTACTACTACTACTACTACTACTACTACTACTACTACTACTACTACTACTACTACTACTACTACTACTACTACTACTACTACTACTACTACTACTACTACTACTACTACTACTACTACTACTACTACTACTACTACTACTACTACTACTACTACTACTACTACTACTACTACTACTACTACTACTACTACTACTACTACTACTACTACTACTACTACTACTACTACTACTACTAGGCAACGACCTGACCGTCCGGGCCGCACGCCCTGCACGTCCCGGTGCCGAACGCCCTGCGCGTCCGGGTGCCTAGTGAAATCCTTGGGAATCCTTAGGAAGCCCTGCAAATCCTCACGATTTGAAAGGGATTCCTAAGGATTTCGCCATCTCGGAATCCCTAGGAATCTCTGGGAACCCCTACGGACCGATAGGAATCACTGGCAATCCCAACGAATCCCTAGGAAACCCTCGGAATCCCTACGAATCCCTAGGACTCCCTGGGAGTCCCGACGAATCCCTAAGAATCCCTAGCGAATCCTTAAGGCTCCTTGCGCAAACCGAACGCCCTGCGCGTCTGGGTCCCTAGTGGAATCCTTAGGAAACCCCGCGAATCCTCACGATTTGCAGAGATTCCCAAGGATTCCACTATCTCGGAATCCGTAGGAATCTCTGAGAAGCCCTACAAATACCTAGGAAAACATAGGAATCCCTAGGAATCTTTAGGAATCATAGGAATCCTTAGGAATCACTAGGAATCCCTAGGGATCCCTAGGAATCCATAGGAATCCTAGCGAATCCCTAGGAATGCCTAGGAATCCCTAGGGATCCATAGGAATCCCCATCGAATCCTGAAGACTCCTTGCGCAAACCGAACGCCTTGCGCTTCCAGGTCCCGAGAGAAATCCTTAGGACCCCCACGAACTCTTGCGATTCGCAAAGATTCCCAAGGATCTTCTCTAGCAATCCCTACGAATCCCTAGGAGAATCCTCAAGAATCCCCAGGAATCCCTAGCGAATCCTTAAGACTCCTTGCGCAAACCGAACGCCCTGCGCGTCCGGGCCCGTAATGAAATCCTCAGGAATCCCCGCGAATCCTTACGATTTGCAAAAATTACCAAAGATTCCACTATCTCGGAATCCATTGGAATCTTTAGGAATCCATAGGAATCCTTAGGAATCCCTAGGAATCCCCAGGAATCTCATCTCTAGGGATCCCTACGACTCCCTAGGAATCTCTAGGAATCTGTAGGAATGTCTGGGAATCCCTAGGAATCCTCAGGAATCCTAGGGAATCTCTGTGAATCCATCGGAATCCCTAGGAATCTCTAGGAATCCCCACAAATCCATATGAATTCTCAGGACTCCCTTACGAATCCTTGAGACTCCTTGCGCAAACCGAACGCCTTGCCCGTCTGGGTCCCTTGCGAAATGTTCAGGACCCCCGCGAATCCTTACGATTCGCAAGGATTCCCAAGGATTTCACGACCTAGGAATCCCTGAGGTCCCTAGGAATGCTCAGGAATCCCTAGGAATCTTTAGAAATCCATTGGAATCCTCAAGATTCCTGAAGAATCGTTCACAATCACTAAGACTCCTGAGGAGTCTTGAGGAATCCCTAGGAATCTCTCGGAATCCCTCGGAATCCCTAGGAATCCCAAGGAATCCCCTACGAATTCATACGAATCCTTAGAAGTCCCGAGTGAGTCCTTAAGACTCCTTGCGCAAACTGGACGCCCTGCGCGTCCAGGTCCTTAGTGAAATCCTCAGGAAACCCCGCGAATCCTTGCGATTTGCAAGGATTCCTAAGGATTTCACTTCCTCCGAATCCCTAGAAATCCATAGGAACGCTTAGGAATCCTTAGGAATCTTTAGAAATCAATAGAAATCCTCAGGATTCCTCAAGAATCTCTAGGAGCCCAACGACTCCCTAGGAAGCCCTGCGACTCCCCAGGTAGTCCCTAGGAATCCCTCGGAATTCCTAAGGATCCCTAGGACTCCCTACGAATCCTTAGAAATCCCTTGCGAATCCTAAAGACTCCTTGCGCAAATCGAACGCCTTGCCCGTCCGGGTCCCTAGTGAAAGCCTTGGGAAACCTTACAAATCCTTACGACTTGCAAGGAAGGGTTTCACTACCTAGGAATCCATAGGAATGTTTGGGAATCTTTAGGAATCCCTAGGAATATGTTGAAAGAACCTCTCGGAATCCCTACGAATCTCTAGGAATCCATAGGAACCCATAGGATTCCCTACGACTCCCCAGGAATCCCTACGACTCCCTACGACTCACTAAGAATCCTTAGGAATACCTACGAACCCCTACGAATTCTCAGGAATCCTCTGCGAATCCTTAAAGCTCCTTACGCAAACTGAACGCCTTGCCCGTCTGGGTTCTTAGCGAAACCCTTAGGAACCCGTGCAAATCCTTTCGATTTGCTGCAAAGATTCCGAAGGATTTCATTACCCAGGCATCCCCAGGGATCCCCAGGAATGCCTAAGAATCCCTTGATTCACTTGGAATCTGTAGGAATCCCTACAAATCCCGACGACTCACTAGGGATCCCTAAGAATCCCTGGGAAGCCCTACGACTCCCTACAACTCCCTAGGAATCCTTACGACTCCCTACGACTCCCTAGGAATCCCTAGGGATCCCTAGGAATACTTAGGAATCCCTAGATATCACTAGGAATCTCTAAGAATCCATACAAATCCAGACGACTCCCTAGGAATCTTAAGAATCCCTGGGAATCCCGACGACTCCCTACAACTCCCTAGGAGTCCTTACGACTCCCTACGATTCCCTAGGAATCTGGAGGAATCCCTAAAAATTCCTGCGAATCCTTAGGAATCCCTTTCGAATCCTTAATTCAGACTCCTTGCGCAAACCGAACACCATGCCCGCCCGGGTCCCAAGTGAAAGGAACCTTGGGAAACCGAGCAAATCCTTACGATTTGTAAGGATCCCCGAGGAATCCCCATGAGAATCCCTAGGAACCCCTGGAAATCCCTAGATGAAATCCCTAGGAATCTCTAGGAACCCTTACGAATCCCTACGACTTCCCAGGAATCCCTACGACTCCCTACGACTCCCTAGGAATCCCTAGGAATCCCTAGGAACCCCCACGAATCCTTAGGAATCCCTTGCGAATCCTGAAGGCTCCTTGCGCAAACCGAACGCCTTGCCCGTCCAGTCACTAGTGAAATCCTCAGGAACCCGTGCGTATCCACACGATTTGAAAAGCTCCCTAAGGATTTCACTACCTAGGCATCCCCAGGAGAATCCCTGGGAACCCTTAGGAATCCCTAGTGACCCGGACGGGCAAGGCGTTCGGTTTGCGCAACGAGTCTTCCAGATTCGCAAGGGATCCCTAAGGATTAGTAAGGGTTCCTAAGGATTCCTAATGATTCCTAGGGATTCCTAAGGATTCCTCGGGAGTCGTAGGGAGTGGTAGGGATTCCTCGGGAGTCGTAGGGATTCGTAAGGGTTCCTAGTGAAATCCTGCGGAACCCGTACAAAGCCTTACGATTTGAAAAAGATTCCTAAGGATTTCACTACCTAGGAATCCATCGGAATCCCTAGGGCGCGTCGCGGCTTGTCGCGTCGCGGCTTGGCGCGTGCTTTTCAAGCTCAAGCAAGCCCCCAAACGGACGACGAGGACACCAGAGGCCCCGAAGACGATTCACGAGGGCCCCATGTTGCGACAGATCGTTCCGAAACGCCCGAATGGGTTTCCAGACGGCCCAAGGGCCCCCCAAGAAACTGTAGGAAGGCTCCAAGAGCACTCCCAAGAGAGCTCTAAAAGTCATCAGCAGCATCGTCATCACCTCCACCTAGTCATCAT